GTCTTTTGCTCTTGGCATTTTAATTATGATGTGTCTTGGTGTGGCTACTCTTTGGATTCCTTTTGTTTGGGGTTCTCTGTGCTTCCTGGACCTGTAAGTCTATTTCTTTCACCAGGTGGGGGAAGTTTTCTGCATTATTGAGCAAAACGATACTCTGCTGCCATCGTGTGGCCATTCATGGAACAACAGCATACACTACCCGCTTTCAGACTGAAAAGACTTCTATACTGCTGCATTGGAAGAATTTTTTTTTTAAAGATGGTAACAAAAGAGCCTCTAAGAGATTAAACTGACCAAGGGCTCCAGCTGACTCAATGTGTACCATTGAGTCTGGTCTTGCAATTAAGTAACTTGAAATCCGTATTTTCCACTGATGATGGAAGTCTGCATGGAGTGTAGACAATCACACACACATGCCTTTCTTCAAATAAAGAGGGCACAGGTCCCACACAGTGTGCAGTGACAGTACACAGCGTGTGGGGCCGGCCTTGTTCTGGCAGAGCTTGCCTTGTAGAAAGTTCTTCCATGCCTGTTGTGTTTTCCTGCACAAGAGATTCACGGAGAATTACTCCTCTGCTCAAACCCATCCCACACACTGTCGTCGTCATCCTCTCTCTCCACATACACCTTGTCACATTCCTCCTCAATAGAGTATTTTCTTTTCCTAGTAAATTACTTGTGAACACATGTTTTTCTGAATAAAAGATTCTAGAATAGTTTAGAGAAGAGATATACTCTGGTTTTATAGGACAAACGGTTGGTTTTATTTATCCTTCAAGTAAGTTACCGATCATACTGTACACGTCTCTGCATCTATGTACTTATTACACAAACCACAAGACTGTCAGCCAATTCCTATGCAAAAACGATCCTCTGCTACCATCTTGTGGACATTCAAGGAATAACACTTTTGTGCTTCTGTCCGTGGTGCTGAAATCTCAGCTATTGCCGTTTGAACAAGACAAAAAATTTTACCGAGAAAAAACAAACAAAAACAAGAACAACCCCGCCCCCCACAAAATATCAAGGCTGTCCAGGGCGGCAATCACGTCGTCTCTGGATGGACTGAAGTCACCGGTCTAGATTTTGCACCTCTTTCCACCACATCCTAGGAAGGAAGGCGTTGGCTGCTGCATTGACATGGGGAACCTGTGCGTTTACCATGTCAGTCCGAAACCTAGAGGCTGCCATCACTGCGTTGGTCAGTACCTTGGAACCACCGTCTTGTAACCCGAAGTCAGCTATTATTGCAGTGCTCTGAAGGCTGGAGTCCGCCATGACTGAGTCCGTCCGTACGGCATTGCTTCCGGAACCGAGGCGGCCCGTACGGGGCAGGTGGCGCTTACTGAGTCAGCCAGCGGGCTGCAGCGGCGTATACTGAAGCAGCGAGTATGGTTTAGGCCTCCGTCCGTGTGCCCTGGAGTCCGCTATGAGTGCGGCCTTCCGTCCGGTGGCGGCCGCCATGAGTGAGGCAGGCCGGGCCGGAAGCCGCCATTGCTGAGGCCGGAAGTCCGTACAGCTTGGGTGTGAAGTACCGCGAGACCGGGCGACGTCGCGAGAGTTCGCCGGCTTCGGTA